CTAAGACCTATCTACAGTATAGGTACCTGTGGATGATCCTAAGAGACCAAGTCTGAAGAGACAGTCCCCAGGCAGAGTAGGCCTTATATTTATACCTCTGTGGTGGAACCTGCTAGAACATCTTGCTTACTCAGCCTAGTCAGGTGATCAGGTCATATGACCAAGGATGAGGTCATATGAGGTCATGCACAGCCATTCACAGCAGGTCACCTGACCATCCAATCCTTCCAGCAGGTTCCAGCACATGCCAAGGTATACCAGCTACTTCCATGTCATAAAGGCTTAGTCATGTCTCTTGACCAAGCAATGAGCTGGTGCCCTGACAAGCCATCAAGATCTATGTGTGGCAACACATTTCAGAGCAAGATGTTGTGTGTGCACACACCCTCTACTGACAATTTTTTGTCAAGTTTGTGGAGGTAGCTGCACACCTCTATGTCAATGTGGAGAATCATTGTTGTTTGCACAGTAAGGATATCTGCCATGGCAGCTATTAATGGTGTGCTGACCTTTGATTGACAGTCTACTATGGATGTCAAACTATGTGCATAGAGCCCACACCATGCACCAGAAGAAGATTGTTATTTGTATAGTGGATCATTTCAGCTATGATACATTCCTGAAAGATTTTGGATATGGATTCATGATGTCTAAATGCACATACAAGGTCAAGTTTGGGCAGGCTTTCTGACCTTTGAATGTTTGCACTATGGCTCTGTGCTTTTGCTGTCAACTGATGCTCTCATTTATCCACACTGCCTTTCAAAATTTGGGTATTGAGGTCCAGTTTGAGACATGGCAATGGGTGCAGAGGACCTCCTCCTATGAGCTATGGGCCTTCATACCATAGACTGAAGCCCAATGTGATGAGTGGTACCAGCAAGAATCATCAGCCCAACAAGTGCCAGGGCCATTGGGCTTGAGGATTGAGGAGCCCAATATGGATGTATTCATCTCAGCACATTCTGCATACCAGAGCACCTCAATGGGAAGGTGTCCCCAGGCAGAAGAGCAAGGCACCTCAAAGAAAAAATGTGACCACCTGGCCAGATGTGAGGGGCAGTACCAGCTGGGTACCACCCATAGCAAGAATCCACTTGCATTGGGGGAAGGGATATGGGCAGAGATCCCATCACTCAATGAGGATGGACTCTGACTCTGCAACGGGTTAGTGCCCACCTGCAGCAGAGATCTGTTGCAGCTGTTCCACCCCCAACAGCTACGTTGATGGAAAGGTGTTTGACATGCAGACCATGAGGTCAGCAAGTCACCTGTGTTCACTCGCATGTTTAACGATTCGAGTTTGCTCTTTATATGGGAGTCCTCCTCCCAAGAGCGGTATCGGTGCATGGGTTGAGCCCCATTAGCAGAGATGGGCGCCAAGCGAAACAGGATAGAAGAGCACAACAACTGGATTGTCTTGAAAGAGATTCCCTCGATAACAAAAGCATATCCAAGGCTATATTTGGCATAGTATTGTGCACAAGCAGTCCCGCGGCGTGCAATGTCTCTCAAACACTAAGCTCGTCATTCTCCGCCCCTGTTATCGGGTGCCTTCACAGGCGTGATCCTCCAAAACGGGTTTTGTAAACCAATGCGGATTTTGTCAAGGAATGAAGCCTGCTTGTGATACCAGCCAGCCATGAACGGGATGCAGAACATCCATAGCCAGGGATGTGGATCTATCCACGCTCTGTATTTCATCATGCCCACGTACTCGAACCACTGTGGATACATCCCCGAGAAACCCCAGTCGAGGAGCCAAACAGTGCCGTCTTTCGAGACGCGGATATTCCGCATGCTGATATCCCCATGTATGAAGAAGACCAAAGGCGTCGACCGGTCGAAGTGGGGGAGATTCTTCTCGTCAATCTCATGATGAAATCGGTGCTTGGCCATATCCACGGTCAGAGCGCGAACATGCTCGAACCAGGCACACAGTTCAGAGTAATTGGCAAAGGGGCCTTGAGGCCATTCGCCGAATTGGGGACATTCACAGTCAACTGGTTCGCCACTGGCGTCGATGGGTCCCGGGATGTCCGGTTTCGGAGGTCGCCAAGCGCGCAGCTTCTGGATGTACCTGCGGATCGTCCATACGACATACAGCTTCCTCCATAGAGATAGTTTCGGCCAGAGCGTAATGAGATCTTCTCCGTCGACGTAGTCCATAACGATATACATGTGCCGATCGTCGAAAAACAAGTTATGAATGCGTGGAGTGGATATAGGGACATGTTCACAAACGAGTTGCATCGTGTACGGCTCGGGCAGGTTAAGACGCGAAAGTGATAAGATCTTGACAGCCATGGTCTCCGAAATCCGGAAAACGTTGTGGCGTATGCCAGCCCAGTTGTCGGCGTAGTTGAACGTGCTTATCCTCGCGTTTTCCCATAGGTCGCTGGCCTGGAGTGCCTTGATGTTTTCAAGGGTGATAGTAGACGTCGGCGTCACAGAGCGCTGTCGCGTAGAGATGGAAATTAGCGCACGTTTCACGGAGAGCGCGTGGGTCCTACTCCTGGTTTACGCGGTCCTTGCGATACGAGGAAATCCCAGAGGCATTGCAGCCAGCTGTACATGTACTCACAAGAGACCTCCTGTGAAGGAGGATTGATAGGGGAAATGTAGCCCGGTATGAAGTAAAGAAGACAAAAAAGGTGGTCGATGAGCGTAAGGGCAGCCTGGGAGATGTGCGCTTCCTACGACCCTTATCATCCCTCATCACTCCCTCTCCTCACTGTCGTCGACGTTATCCCTCCCGCTGACAGACCGGACCTCATTCCCAGTACATCTCATCTCCTTCTCTCATACTTTGCATTTGCTCACACTTTATGGAAGTACTCCTAGGAGCGGCATCGGGCCGAGCCTCATTAGGAGAGAAGGAACACCCCAAGTACCAGTGAGATAGGATACAAGAGCACAACAACAACTGGATTGTTCTTGAAATTTAAGCAGTTACAACACTTATTCAACGGGAACAGAACGAGTGAAACCGAGGAAAAAAGGTGACGTTGAAGGGGAAGGGGAACGTTGCGTGCAGTGGGCAGTGGGCGATATATTTAGAGTCGGTATGTAGACAGTGGGGCATACCAAACAAACCGAGAAAGTTGGAAGCGGGCAAGAGAAGACGGAAAGCGAGACAGAGACAGAGAGAGGGAGGGAGAAAGAAAAGGAAAACTTTAGTAGATCCTAGTATATCATCAGCAACGGAAATGGGGTATTAGAAGACGGTATAGTAGGATCTTGCATTGTCCGTTTGTGTTGTTCAGTCGTTGTGTTCAGAGTCTTGGTGAGCTGGGCGCTGTGAAATGCAGCGCAGAAGCTCGGGATACCGATCATGAGGAGAAAAGTGCCTACAGTCTGTCATCCAGTCAGCCTTACGTGCATGTGGGTTTGAAGCTGACACCAACCAACCACAACCCCAACTCCGCTAATGCCCATTATGCGCATACCTCATCCCTCCACCTACGCTCAACGCCCCCCCGCCCACGCCAACCGCCCCGCCCACGCCAACTCCCACGCCCACGCCAACACCAGTCAAGCCCCCGCCCAAGTTGACCTGTCCAGACGCAGACGCAGATCCAGGCAGGGGTAAGCGGCCGGTATCAGGTCCCCCAGCGGCGAGGGACGATGTGAGCGAGAAGCTGCCAGAGACGGAGACTGGTTGGAGGGGGTAGTACGTCCCCCCTCCTCCATTTCCGTTTCCCCCTACCCCACCTGCTCCTCCTGGGCCGGAGCCGGGGCCGGCTGAGGCTGGACCGCCTGAGAGAGCGGAAGAAGCATCGCGTCTGTCAATAGGGGAAATAGGGGTACGTTCGGGAAGCGAGTAGGGGGAGTGGGACACGGTCCCCGCACCGCCGGTGACGTTCCCGTTCGTTGCCCCGCTCGGGTTAGCAGTCACCGGGCTGGAATAGTACGGCTGGCTGTTGTACGACCGAGGAAAAGAATGAAGGGGATCGTAGGACGCTCCTGAGAAATGTGCCTGCGTCTGTGCCTGCGTTTGGGTCTGCGACTGAGGCAGGGCCTGGGTCTGGATCGTAGGCCGGACGAGGGAGGAAGGGTAGTAGTCCGCTTGGGAGGGCGGTTGGGATTGAGGTTGAGTCTGTGATTGAGATTGTGTTTGAGATTGGGATTGAGATTGGGACTGGGACGGTTGGGGCTGGCCAAAACTGGGCGACGCGTACTGACTATAGCTTACGCTCCTTGATGACCCTGCTGAACCGGGCAAGTATCCCTGCCCCTGTCCTTGCCCTGGCTGGGGCTGTGGCTGGGAGTGGGAGGCGTATGCTCCTGGTCCTGCTGCTGGTCTGAGCTGCTGCTGCTGCGGGTATTGGGAGCGGAATGTAGAAGAAGTGGGGAACGTAGGTGTCTGTTGATTTTGCGGTTGGTTCGGGTTCTGCGGTTGGTTCTGCGTCTGCGTCTGCGTCTGAGATTGAACTTGGTGATTCTGCGTATGTCCCTGATTCTGCGTCTGCTGCGGGGGGTACGCACTAGCAGGCGTCGGGGTCGATAGGACGTACCGCTCGTAGAGTAATGGTGACCTGCCAGGGGTATATTCCGTCGAGCTCGACCCCGAGGCAGAGGCGGAAACACCATTCGAGCTTCCAGTATTAGCGTTGTTGCTGCCGGTACCATTGTTGTTGCTGCTGCTGGCAGCGCCCGCCCCGTACCCTGCTGAAGAAGCATAGGCATCCCTCGGCAATGGGTACCTCAGGTCTCCCCCTCCACCCGCATACTGTCCTATCCTGTACTGCACAGGCGAGTACCCTCCTGCCGTTGGTCGTGGGTCATACCACTCCTGCTGGTAAGGGAGTGCATACTGGCCCGCCCCAGGGGGAGGGACAGCAGCAGCAGTCGCAGTAGCAGAAAGGGGAGCGGAAACAGCAGAAGAGGTAAGCGGGGTGACTGTCTCCTCGGTCCCGTGCCTTTTGTACCCCGGGCTGTCATTTCTTGCGCGTTTTGCTGGCCGAGGCTTGCGCGCTCCCGGGCTGCCGCGCCCCCCTGCTCCTCCGGAGGCGCCGGCACCGGGAGTGTCGTCCTCCTCCGAATCGTCGTATCGTTCTCTTTGCCCTTGGGGCCGCTTGCGCACGCGTATGTCCTTCCGTATGCGGATTTTGATGCCCTGATCAGCGAGGGAACATGAGAGCGGTGTGGACTCTGAAGCGTATCAGGTAAGGTCCGAGGTATGAGGACGAGGGAAGGCGCACCCTCCATCCCTGGGAACTTCTTTGCCGTATAGACATAGAACGGCTTTGAGAATATACTCTTACAATGCTGGACTTCCATACTGGATCCCCTTTGTACGTAAGTGTGAGCTGTTTCCCTAGGCAGGGGAGCGTGGCTCACCCAACGATCTCGAACAGGCTCAGCTTGAGCCTGTAGGAGCCTTCGGTCCGCACTGACAGGTCGGGGAAGACGAAGAACCCCGCGTCCGAGTTGCGGTTCTCTGTATCCTTGAGATGGTAGAGAGAGGAAACGACCTGGCCCGTCGTACACCGGGTCTGACCATCAGAGAGGAGGTGCATCTCCTGGTCCGAATCGACAGATGCGAGGGAAGCGAACATGAAATAGTAAGGGTTCTCGAGGAAGGACACGCTTTCCCTCTCTTCGGCGCTGTAGGCATCTCGCCGTCGTTCGCGGACGCGGAGCTCGACGATTGGCGGGGGGTCGATTGGTCGCCTGTCTGTTGGTGTGTGAGGATGTGGAGAGATGGGAGGGAGGGAGGGCGCACCTTTGCCGCTGACCCCACACATGCGCGCTTGCTTTGGTTGCTGGCGCACAGTGAGATCATATTCCCTATCCATGGGGGAAGGGTCATAAGTCTCGATTTCCGGGGAAAGGGAAGTCATGAGAGCAGGAGTAAGTGATAAATGGAAAGCTAAAGATGTGAAGAGTGGGAATAAACGGGGATTGGTAGGAGAGTAGGAATGAGTATTATGACCCAGGGCCTCGGCCAGGGGGAGTTGGAGTGCAGTTTGATGTGGTGAGGGAGTGGGTATCAGAGATTGAGGTAGATGAGGAGGAGGAGGAGGAGAGAAGGGAGAGGAGAGGAGAGAGGGGGGGAGGTGGTGGAGTGGGGAAGAGGAATTGGATGATTGAAGCGGGCTATTATAGCGTGAGAGTTCCGCGAGGGTGTAGGGATGAGACAGGTGATTGTTGAATATCGCCCGTTCCCTCGGAGTCGGGTCCCATTCCTTTGGCTGCTCATACCGCCGGCAATTATAAGCCAGGGCACCCCGATCGGTGTGTCCGATTGGATGAGCATTATTACCCGATTGGGAGAGTAGAATGCCACGCGGCGTTGTTCCAAGTCAAGGGGAGTGCGAGCAGAAGGGCGAGAGAGGCACCCCCGATGGCTAGAGTAAGCGCATCCCGTCGATCTCACCACTCCACCAGCGGACCAACGCCCCCCCGATGGCCGATCCTCTTCTCCATCCAAGGAAGGCACGAGAACGCACATATCATGGACATGTTCATCGGAACATCCAAGAAGGCGAAGGACCCCGAGTTGCCCCTCCTGCCCGCACACCCACACCCACACGGCAATCTCCTGCCCTCCTCCCTCTCACACAGAAACCAACGTGCGAGTGAACACCAAACAAACACAGACACTCACCTATCCCTCCCATCCCTTGTCATCCTCCACGCTGCCAACCGTCCCCTATCCCTCAACACCAACTCCACAGGCCTGGAAAGCAACCACTCCCCGCCCTGGCTCTCGCTCCACACAGGCACAGTCTTGACTTGGTGCACTACACCCCCGAAACGGGTGGTGACGATCCCTTCCCTGCTCTGGGGCGGGGGGAGCGTGAGCGGGAGGGGGAGGGTAAACGACGATGAGGAGGGTAAAAGACTGCTTGTGCTTGTGCTTGGGGTGGAGCTCGCACCTGGGAGAGAGGGGGCAAGTGCCCAGGAGTCGAAGTTGTGCGTCATTCGGTTATGTATGCTCGGAGCAGGCTGTTGTGGGGTGGGTGGGGAGTGGGGGGAGGTGCCGCTGATACTGGAACGTTGGGATGGCTACGAACGAGACGAGTACTCGGTACTGGTACTGGTACTGGTTACCGCACTGGACTGCACTGGTACTGCCCTGGTACGGTAAGGGTAAGGGTAGTTAAGAGTGTCCAGAGAGCTGGTTCCTGTGAGCCAACACACTGGCCAAAGTAGCTACAAAGTCCCAGATGCAGCGAAGCGTAGCGAGCGTAGCGTAGCTTAGTAGTACTAGTTGCGCAGGAGTAGTAGTGGATGCAGCTGTTTCGTGTACAGCCAGAGTAGTGAGGGAGCCGGAATATCAGAGGATATACAAAAAGAGGTGGGGACAAAGAGCCGGGAGTCAAGAGAGCGAAGGGGGCGGGCGCTTCCCCACCTATCCTATCCCCACGTATCCCATCCTATCCCATCCTATCCCCGCCCTCCCTCCTGACACACAAACCCCAAGAACCATTCAATCCACCTGTCCCGATCCCTCCCTTCATCTACCCACAACGGCCGGCAGCGCCCGCTTTCAAGGGGACGGGACGGCGCGCGGGAGGACGGTACTATATAAGGTTTAGACCATGGTTTCTCACATGCCTGAGCATGATCAGGACCATGGGCATGGGCATGGCAAGGGTGAGTGTGAGCGTGTGTGAGGTGGATCCTCCGCTTTTAATTTCTCAAATGGCAGCTTCGTTGCAATCATCAATGGCAATCAAATCAACAATGGGGATCAGCAGGGGATGATGATAATCCCGCGCGCCTCCAGAGCAGCCTCCCCATCCACACCCACACACCCACACCACACCCACACCCACACACCCACACCACACCCACACCCACACACCCACACACATACATACAATACAGTACATACGTCCGAAGCTTCCTCCAGCAGGGTCTCAACCCAATCCACTGGCATTGAATGATCACATGAGCATTGACATGCCGTGCGGAGTGGAAACACGGACGACGACAGGGATGGACGGGGACTTAGGGGTCGGTATCTCCGCCTTCTTGCGTGTGAGGGGCACAAGGAGAAACTTAGGAGGCGAAAGGCGAAAGGTTCCGGGCGCCATTTGCCCTGCGTCCTCCCTCCCTCATCCTATCCCTGTCCTGCCTATCCTATCCTATCCCTATCCTATCCATCCTATCCTCCGCTTCTCATGTGTCCGCAGCTCGAACTCAGGAAAAGTGCTAGTACTTTGTTTGCCTCCTGGCCGTTTGCCGTTTGCCACTTTGCTTTTGCCACTCATCAGATCTGACAGATCTATCCAGAGATCTAACATCGGGCACCCTTACCGTCTGTCCCGCCGTTCCATTATCACACATGTATACGCTCCCCTCTAACACCTGTACCAACACCACAGAATCACACTCCAATCACACTCCCCAGGGCAGCTTCTGCAGTACTTGCGGCATAAACCGCGCGCGCGGGGACAAGTGATGGGTAATCCCCGCCTGCCCACTCATTCACTCATTCACCGATCCATTGCACGATTGCCTTTGCACGATTCCCAGTCAAGTCAGGTCAACGTCTGACAGCATCTGCATGAGCAGGTGCATGAGCATGATGAGTTGGTTAGACAGACCCCGCTGCTCTGGGGGCGTCACTTCCCTTCCCTCTCCTCTCTTCTTTCCCCCCCCTTCTTCGCCTTAGAAAGTATACATTGCCGTCCATGCGGCCCATCGCTTCCTTTTAAGTACTAAGCAGCGTCTTCCTCGCTCCCGGCGGCAACTAATTCTAAAACTAGTGCTGTGCTGGTCGCTAGTCTACGCTGCTTGGTGGTCGCTGGTCACTGGTGACTGGTCGCGATGCTTCGGACCGGATCGCCATCGAGCGCTTTCGATAGAAGAAGGGAAGATGGATCAACCTCCCTATCCCATCCCCTCCCTTCCACAGCCTTCATCTTCCACAGTCTTCACCCTCGGCATTTCCCCTTTTTGCCCTTCTTGGCCCACGACTGCGGACGGGAAGCATGATCCGCTTCGTTTTGCTCCTCGCAGATGATAGATAGATGGTCAGGAACGTGCCAGTGCCAGCGGTTTGGCATGGCCGTGTACACGTTCTCTCCCTCCCCTTTCCGGAGGCAGAACATCAAGGATTAGGTCTTTAGTGGTCTTGCTCATTCCAGTTGGTCTGCTATCTAATTCGCTCATGGCTCATGCCTGTGCGGCGGATGACGCATACCCGAATCCGCTCGCCTCGAGCCCCCGCACGACGAGGGCAAAGTCGTTTGCCGCTTCTTTGACTTTCTTTACTCTCCTGTGTCTGTGCGGCGTCAGCGCCGCCCTTGGCATCACCCCGCAGCCAGCGCGGCTAGCATGAGACTAGGACGTACCGAGCTACGGCTTTGATAAACGCCTTCTTTGCCTTGTCGGTCCCCTTGGGATAGGAGAAATCGTCCTGCAAAAGCGAAGCCGGTCAAAAACGCAGCTATAAAAGGGAAGAACATATCCAACCGCGAAGAGTATGACGCGCATGGACGCTTGGGTATCCTCGAAGAACTTGCTCGACAGGATCGCCAGCAGATCAGACAGGTTAGGGATCGTTGATCTCGGCGCCCTGAACGCGATCCCATGCAAGATGACGTGGAGCATCGCGAACCCGTGCACTTGGTTTAGTAGCACAGCGTTGTCGGGACATACTCGCAGGGTTTGGTCAATGAAGGTGTGCTAGGCCGTCCACCGATTAGAGCAGTAGTATCTGCCTGCCGGATCCACTCACTAGAAACCGAACGCCGGAAACGATGCAGTATCGTTCGGGCAGTGCCATGGCGCTGATAGCCGCGCAGACCAGGCTGTTAACCGCTCCTGGAGGCAATTTGTACATCTCCTCGATGAAATGCATGGCGATCTAGAAGCAGTTTCATCCCTGCTTCTGAAACGAGTGATAAAGGCACGCACGGCATTCATACAGCTTCCGAAAAAATCTTGCACCAGGTCGGTGTTCTTTCGCTTCATCAATCGCCCAGCCTCGTTACGTCTCATGAGAACTTACCGCTTCCATGGCCCCAGGCTGGCCGAGCACCTGGACGGCGGTGTTTAGGAGACTCAACGTCGCTTCTCGCACCAAGGCCAACGCTTCAGGGTCGGCACTCGGCCGTATCCACAGGAATTTCTTGGGATCCAGTTGCGTTATGAGAATCTGCGCTAGTGACAACCACGTTGCTGATAGCTGGCGCTCAGCGGCGCCGCACACCAACACTAACAGTGGACCCGGATCGAGGGATATCAGGGTCTCCTCCGAAGGGAGCCCTGTCATGGCCCGCAGAAGCTCGCTCAGTGCCTTCTTGCCAAGAAGAAATGAGCAGTTATAATATCACGCCGAGGCGAGGTAACTTACGCTTGCCATATCGGCGTTGGACGACCACAGAGTGAAGCAACCGCTGATGCCATCCTGGATGTTGGCCCGAAGTTGTATCAGGCGCGGATCTTGCCTCACCGTGTGCATGCTTTCACGACGCCGTGCTTCCTCTTCCTCTGTGGCACTAAGCAGATCGTTCGTCAACAAATCTTGGCTGGACGTAAAGCCTTTGGCACATGCGGCAATATATCGCAGCTGATTAATGCAGACCAGTCGAGCCACGTCCGGGTACTACTTTCTCAATTAGGCAGCTCCTCCGAAAATTGTGGAAGACATACTTGTGACGCAATAGAAAGGGCTTCTGACAATTTCGTGACAAGCGGAGATACAACTTGCTGGCGTTTATTTGAGTGCCATATGAGTAAGATCGAAGCATGTGCCACGCACCCCTGCTGGTTCCACCACTTGCTCCACTGGCAGGGCCTGGATAACGCTCGTGATCGATTGCAGCACCGTGCCCTTCTCAGTATCCTAGGCGTTGGTTGGCACGTGGGAAACGACTCCACTTCCAACCTAGATACACTCACCTGAATTGTGTCCAGTTCTCCATATAGATCCGAGAACCACGACAAAGAATTCTGTGCGAGAACAACCCTGTTGTTGTCGCAAAGTACTTTGAGCGCGTTGGCAGCCTGGAATGAAACAGAGGACACGTTCAACGAATTTAGAACAAATAATGTCGCAGCCATAATGGTAGACGGATTCTTTTGGGAAAACCAAGTGGAATACGCTGCTGAAGATGGAATCAGTGCGATGCGGATGAACAAACAAAGAAATTACATATGACACCCAGCATAGTCTGCCTCACCCGTGGATCTGGACTCGCGCATATTCGATCAAGCACGTCTTGACTCCACAGCCGCGCAAGTTGCTCTTGTTCCTCCACCGACACAGCTTCCTGGATCGACTTGATAACATGTAATGTTGCTTCCACATCCTGAGTGAAGTGAGGATCTGAGCTTGATACAGGAAATGAATGGCTCACCTCCCAATAACCGGGTGTATCATGGTTTTCTTGTTGTAATTCTTCATACAGAAGGTCGATTAATCCGCCCATCATTGGCTCTCGGAGAACATAATAACTGCAGAATAAGCGTCAATATATCGCACGATCGCTACAGCTTCTGTGGAGTGTAGCTTACGCATTCATGAGGGCATCTCCGACGTCCCGCCGATAGCTGATTCTGTCGTTAACATTTTTGGCCAGTCACGTAACGCTTCTGCACACACCTTCTGAACTTTTCCACCTGGTCTGGGCCAAGATTAGACGAAATGACCGGGGGCCGAGGCGCTACATACCTTTCATCAGGTGCTCTGTAGGCCATGCGGCTTTCTTCCTCAAGACGACCACAACCTGCGTGTATAGAGACTTCGCCATCTCCCATTGTGGCGACAGGGGAGAATCCGCAAATGCTGAGACCGACAAGCTCTCTTGGAACAAGTACCAGAAGGGCAGGGCTGTCTGGCTGCATGTTCAGCAATCCATGTTCTACCATGCGAATATAACCACGGACCGCGCTCTCTTCCTCGTCAATAAGATACACGCCAGGATAATTGGTGAAAGCAAGGACCAGATTCAGGAAACATGTTATGCGAGGCTCTCCTAGACGAGCAGCCAACCAGTCGGGAGAATGTTCTTCCATTGCTATCAGAAGCTTGCACAGCGAGTGCGCGTTATCGTCAGGCGTTCCTGCTGGTTATGGGTTCATTGAGGAGCAACATCTCGTGTATCAGACACATACATTCAATAGCCTCGTTCAGGATGCTCTCTCCTAAGGTCTCGAGCCATTGGAGGAGAGGTTCGGTCAGAGTCTTCGATCCTTTCCCATCCGAAAGAGGAGAGGCGTATAAAATTTCTTGCAACACATCCGAAGCAGGTATGAAGGTTTCTCGGGAAGAGAGCAAAGTGATCAAAAATGGTATTGAATCCGTTAAGTCGCTTGATTTGGCAGTGAGAAGCGCATACATCCAGGTGACTGATGTCTACATACTCGACAGGAACACCCCATTCAACCCAAAGTTGCAAGCAATTCAATGCTGTCTCCATCTCGCTCTCAGACGTGGTCGGATCCGTGCACGACTTCTTCACAGCTTCTAGCATCAAATGCACGGAGTCTGTTAGGGACTGATGGAAGGTCATTCTGAGCGCTAATCAGTGGGTAATACAACAACTGGCATAGAGTTTGAATATACTTTTCGGTCGCCAGGAAGTCTGTCCTCAGAGCTTCTTCCGCTGCTATCCCAAGAAAAGCCAATATGTACTCTGCAGTTGCACCTTGGCCCGACAAAGAGGTGACACAGTCAAGGATCCAATCAGGCCATTCAGAGTGGCGTTGTGGTACTATTCGAAAGGCGAGATTGGTGATCTGTTGGGCAATTAGAATGATCAAAAGAGGAAAGGAAGGATTCACTGACTGCCACGAAGAGCTTGCGGACAGCAACCCGGGAGGTGCCATTACTGCAAGACCGTCCTGCCAGATCAAGAAGAGTGTTCTTGAGAGCAATCGCCTGATCGACCGGAAACGTCTCCCTATCGAGGTGTGAAAACCATTCCCAGACAAACACAGAGGCTAATAAAAATACCAATCTCGAGAGATCTTGATTTGTGCTATTTGAGCACCGACAAATTCGACAGTCGGATCCTACAATTGCCATTGAGCGAGGTTCACACCCTTGGGTGGCTCTGGCGCACGGGATGTTGGACTAGTGGAATGATCAATCCCCACGCCTCCTGTGTCTTCTGAATAGAAACCAGGTCCTTAGCAAGCGATTGTTGATGTTCTGCATCTGTACTCGGCGAGTACAGTTGTTGTATGAGCTGGAGCAGCGGTCAGGATGGCATGTGTGTTAGGAGATGCCTTTCACTCACAGATACGGTATGTTCCACCTCATCAGGTGATAACACTGGGAGAACATTTCCTTGATATGACATTTAATAACCAAGGAAGAAAGGGTATATTGAACCTCGTCGAGTTGGACCAAGTTGTGCACCGAGGCTGGCGCGTATGATGTCTGTCAGTGGGAAGTACTCATCACAGGCGCGTAGGAGTGGCGGGATTGTCGGAGATAAGGGGTATGATTGCACGGGTATACCAAGTAGAAAGCCACCATCAAGCTACACTACAGGAGTCCTGTCCTCAGGATCCACGCGGATGTCAAGAATGTCCTCATCCTCGCCAGGTTTTTCGACCCACTCTCCGTCTTTCTCAACGTACTCCGTTGACCCGGGATCATCTCCATCTTCTGCAGCCTCTTCAATCAACGCTCCCTGCTCCCGCTGCATATCTAGAAGACGCTCCGAGACTACGAGGTTCTGTGAGGAGCTGATCCCTTTCAGGATCATTGCTTCATGCCGCTCATGGACAGCATGCCGGTAGGAGCGCGTTAAGAATGGTGAGATTGGTTTTAACTTCCAGTTTTCTGGGATATCCGCCAACGTCTGGGGTGCTGTCATTGGCCATTTTGATCTCGGTGCTAAAAAATCACTGACCTCAAACATTTCGAAATAGACAGCTTGTGCATTAAGCAACCGGGCAGTCTGCTTGGCCATACCCTCACCACCGGCCATCTGTACCTGCACCAGAATCCCAAGCAGCGCCTTCTTGGCGTCTTCAGGCACAGGCGCCGTTTTGCCCTTTCCTCCGCTACCGCCTTCAGCAAGATAAGTCGCTAGCGGCGCAAGATCATCGAAAGGAAGGGTCGCGGCGCTGGCTGCTTGAGGACTGATCACTTCACCACCAGATGTACAGTATGCCTGAGCACTGGTGAAATCTTGTAGGTCGTTCACCAGTGTCTCGATGACCGTTCGATGATCAGCAGACTGTCGAGATACATTAAGATACACCTTCAAAGGCCAAAAAACACTCACTTTGGCAGCAAGAACAGCCCCTTCCGTCTTCAACACGGCATGTTTCTGTAGCTCGACCGTAAGCCCAACCACATCATACAATGTAGACGCCTGCAAGAATAGCGCCAGCTTGAGCCGCGCCTTTATTTCCTGGGTTGGGAGGTTCGACCGCCCAAAGAATGTCAAGAATGATATCCGTGGTGCTTCTTTCCGATATTGATCAACTAGTGCTTCAGGTCAAACCTTGGTTCACGCGAATGCTCAGCAGTGACTCACCAAGACCTTGCCAGGACCGTACTACATCTGGAGTGCGCAACATCCTCACAACCTTGGCGAGGTATTTTTGCGCAAGCAAGTCATGTAGCCGTCGTTCACTATTCCGTCGCTGAAGGACAAGCCATTCCAGGAACTGCTCGCCGACTGACTCGTCAAATCTCATCATCTCATCTAACACGAGTTGCTCGTCGATCTTGACTGCGCGTTTTGGATCGCGCGTGGTAAATAGCTATCGCACGATGAGTAAGTGAGACATTGTCATCAGAAATCGACTTGCCTTAAGACCAAGCGCAGGGCTCTTACGAAGCAGCCAAAGACCGTATTTTTGGACGACCTCTCGGTTTCGACTGGCCTGAACGAGGTCTGCAACCCGAGCAACCGGGTTCGGGATATCATCTTCTTCCCACACACCATCAGCCACACTGGTACACCGTTAGCATGCGAATGAATGGATATGCAAATGTTACCAACTTGACGAGTGCATCAAGCAGCTTCACATCCTGCCCGAGCTTGTTGTACAGGCGTACAACGGCGCCGTAGTGGCTCATCTGGAGGAACCATCTCTCCACCTCAAGTACATCGTAGGATTTTGAACTGTCCATCAAACGGTAGAGTTCTGCGGCGTCGGGGTCTTCAGCGAGGAGCTTGATCATAACCGTATCAACAATCTATGCACAGGTCAGAGTGCATCACAGAAGACATAGGAAGGAGGCAGCTCACCCGGTCGACTTTGGCCAACTCTGAACTGAGCACACGGGACCAGATCGTTCTGTCCCTCCTCACGCCCGCCAAATACATCCTCAGCATCTTCTTCCCTTCCGCTAACAGTCCATCCGTGAGTTCGCTGCTCGCAGGTGCATCGGGCTTGAGATGCGGGGCGTAGTTCCTGGCTAGATCGTCCATAACTGGGATCAGGCACGGGTCGTCCCACACAGGCAGGAGAGGCAGACAGAAGAGGGTACATGGAAGAAGAAAGCGGAAATTGTCAATAGGGTTTGCAAGAGAATGTCTAGCGGAGGAAGGTCCTAGACGTGCTAAGAGGGGACGCACCTATTTGCTCCACGTTTACCAGCTTTGCCAGAGGTGTCTCAATACCCGAAAAGACTTCGATCGTCTCTTCTTCGTTTATCAATCCTCCACGGAGATCAGGCCACAACCGGATCAGCAGCCGTGGGTCCAGGCGCCCACGATACAGCTCCTCTCCCGCCTTCTCGAACTTGGCCTCCTCCATCCAGCCCATGGCCACCTTTTGCCGGATATAGCGCATCTCCCGCTCGACACCTGCATCTGGCGTACCGCCTTCTCGCCGGTCGGCAGCAGCAACGAGAGCGAGCGCGTCATCCACTCTATGATCGGCCAGAAGGGTCTCACATTGCGCGGATAGCGTTTGTGGCAGGAGGGCAGAAACGCCGCTCGAGCCTACCAGGAGCAGATGCGTGCGGGTGAACGCTGGCGGTGCTGCTTTGCCTGCAGGCTTTGGTGGTGGAGAGGGCGGTGGAGTGAGACCTGACCCGCTCTGTGGTGCTGCCGAGTCTTCCTCCTCCGGCTCGGGCTCTTCAGGCGGCGTTTCAGGGAAGGGAGGGATAATCTGCATCGTAACGAGCTCTAGATTGCGGTTGTTCGCCGTAGAGGGTGCATATAGGCCGTCCATGCTGCTGCTCATCGTCCGAGCGCCGAGGGATACAGGCACGTCAACAGTCTGCACCACTTTGAGCGTCTCGATCGAGTGCACTACGACTGTGCCGTTCGGGAGAAGGGCTGAGACGTATGGCCAGTCAACGGCAAGCGCGCGGGGTAGGTGTTCCCATTCCAAAGTGCCGCGTACGGGGTCGCCGTTTTTCAAGAATAGGCCCATAGCGCCCGCACCCCCGTCCAGGGCAATGAGGAACTCGTGCTGCGCAACAGTGATGATGCTCGGACGTGGGGGGACGACCACTCCTCCAGCTGAGTACTGATTCGTCGGTATCGGTGCAAACTCGGTCGATTGAGAGGAAGAAAGGTCGACGAAGTGGTACAGCTCTTCGGAGGCGATGAACATGTGCTCTGCATAGCGTTTCGCGATCAGCCCACGGTAGGGCAAGGGGACTTCTTTGATGGGCAACAACCGTTCGCGTAGTGACCATAGACCGACGCCGCGTCTGGTCAGTACGCATAGACCGGTGGCGTCCACATCTTCCGGGTGGGCGAATACGTCTGCGTCGTCCAGGGCGAAAGTGAGCACACCGCGGATATGGTTGATGAGTGAGATAGGGATAGGCTCGAGCGAGGGGAGGAGGAAGAAGTAGAGCGTGCCGTCGGACAGGACGAGCGCTTTTGAGAGCCGCGGGATGAGCGCGATACGGGATACGGCTTTGCGGCTTGGGAGGGTGTGCTTTTCTTGTAGTATGTATGGGTTGGCCTGGGATGACGTTAGGTTCGCTGTTCGAAGACGGGGAAGGGTGCATACTGCGCTGTCGCTCTCGTTGAGGGTGTACCATAACAGTGTCCCGTCAGAGCAGCCGATGTACAAATTAGATTCTGTGATTATGAGTAACAGGATACTTTGACATGTTTGATAGACGCACCAAAAGCCTCTGCGCATCGAATCTCGACCTTCTCTTGCACCGCTGGAGCCGCACCCGTCAGGTTCGCAAGACCTCTCGCCGACCCACTACCGGAGATGAACGCTCGGAGCGCATTCTGCGGAGCGTTAGTGGACGATCTCAAGCCTGACGTAACCGGTGAGCAACGTCAGATGCTTGGAACGGAAGTACGTACTAGGCGCTGGAGAGTCAGAGAGGTTGATGATGTCCTCTTGTTGCTGGAAGGTGACCAGTGGCTGCAGCTGGAAAGGTGGAACTTGGGACTTGTCCATCCGCAGTTACAATTTGGTTAGACTCCTATAGTCTTATTCTGACAGACATGGATATTCGTTGAGTGAACAAGGCCTGGGATTACGGTAATGGTCGGTGGTTGAGCGCTGCGGGAATGGAAGGGTCCATCTCATGACGGACGATGATCAGAACACTTTCACCGTCAACCAAGCTGTCTAATTTATGTAATGAATTTACTTGCTCTATGTATCAAAGACTGGCGGTATTTCATATCACTGCGTGTATCGTGTACTATTGTGTGTGAGCGACGGCGGCGAACATGATGGATTTCATACTAGGCATGTATGCCAACACCGAAACCTTGAAGCATTCTGTATCACAACGGACGGTATGTGACGAGTTCCTTTGCGCTCAGAGCTTCACTTCACTGTTCCCATCTTACACTCTCACCACCACCATCGCTCCTTCCACTCCCACACATTCGTTTCCAACACCACATTCTCTACTCCAAACAATGTCACTCCTTTCACTCATCCGTTCTCTCTCCAACCGCCATCTCCGCCTGGACACCAACGCCCACTCCTCCGAGCTGAAACAGCTCCGTCCCCGACCTTCGTGCGAGCAGCGCGTGGAGACCACGCGCGAGTGCATTGTCCAGTCCATCGATGGGATCCTGCTCGCCCCGCCGGAGAAGGATGCGCATCGGAGGACGAAGCGCGTGAGGGGGAGGCATATCGTACGCACTTCTCCCCTGCCCCCTTCTCTGATACTGAGCGCATATATCCCTCTTGTGCAACAGTCCTTCGATAAGACCACCGAAGCACATCAGCACTTCAAGTCGCTCGGTTATCCACGTCCCCTTGCCTGCCAGGTCGAGGAGCCCCGCCAGCCTTACCAACCCCAGCCAGCACACTGGAGCAGGAGCTACCACCTCATGTATGAAGGCTGCGAAGGGCCGATTATCCAAGATGCCATGTATATGAGCTTGATGGCTGTGGTACGCTTGTTTCCTGAGCGCATATATGCTGCAGGTTATTCACACAATCAGCAGCTCTTTCCCGAACCGACCCAGACTCCCTTCGTACCCCCCGAGGCACCTGTGCTCCCCTCCATCGAGTCCTTCGCGACGATCAAGCATCATGCGATCAACGACGACTTTTCTCTCGAGACGTTCACTCCGGCCTCCTCCCCGCCCTCCACGCCCAAGTCGTCACCTCGCCGCAGGACAGTCACCGGCAACGCCAGCCCGCGTCGTACACAAGTCTTCCTCCGTTCCTCGTTGGCAGACTCCCCCGCTTCAAGGCCGTCTCCTGTTCGCAGCGTCCAACAGTTTCAAGAAACCCCGACACGCAAGACACCGACTTTCAAGCGTCTGCAGGATAGTGTGTCCATGCAAGCAGTCCTAGGTCTCAGCGTGAGCGTGAGCACGAGCCTCGACTCTACCGCCAACTTCGCCCTCGGCGTGGTTGTGGCTAGCGAATCCAGGGACAGTGGGAAGACCTGGGACAGTATCAAGGATTTGAACATGCAGTTGCAGGAGAGGCGGAGGACGCAGACGGCGGCGTTTTGAGTTGCTAGAACGGTAACAATGTAACAATACAGCATGTATAATAGAAGCACTAGTGTACAATCACATGTATGTACAACACATTTAATATCATTAGTACGGAATGAATTGTTTTCCCAGGTACGACTGAATGCCATCTGTGGCTAGCTTCCTCATGGACCACCTCCGTCGCTGCCGGGATTTGGAACACACCATAGATCGCAGTAGCGCATGGTGATCTCCCTCATCCGATGAGCTGTTGAGGAGAGGATTCCCCGCTTGGTAGTGCAGGCATATCCACCTCTGCTTTGTGAGCATTTCTGGACTGCTCCGTCGCCCTTCCCCTGTGGGTGCGGTGACGGATAAACTGGATATGGCAGACCGTCCGTACGTGCCTTTATGCAATGTCTCCCCTCAGCGGGTGTGAAGTCGTAAACTGTTGGGCAGTGCGGTTGTTTGCATGATGTGAAAAGGCGCCGGTGCCACCTCCAACGTTGGTTGTTTCCCCAAGGAGGGAGAAGACACTGCCACCGCACGTGCCTTGTTCTTTCCCGCCCATTCCGCTGCTCCGCTCCGACCCGCCGGACCTCTTTCATCACGGCCCGCTCTTTCCCTGTGGCGACAAGGGCGGGACTAGGTCACCTGCCCCGACTAACACTCTTAAAGCCATACAAATACCTGCCCTGCACCGATGGCAACCCTTCATCCCACATCCCCACCCCCTCCCCGCTCTTCCCCCAAGAACCACTAGAACACTCCCAAAATGTCGATGAAAGCGCTCATCTACAAGTCTCTCAAGCGCGTCGCCATCGAGTCCCGCCCAATCCCACGCGTCACAGCCGCAACAGACGCAATCGTAAAGCTCTCACGGACGACCATCTGCGGCACAGACCTCCACTTGATCCAGGGCGACGTGCCTACTTGCCAACCAGGCCGTATCCTCGGACATGAGGGTGTTGGGCGCGTGCACGAGATCGGCGCAGGCGTGAACAGGTACAAGCCGGGCGACCATGTGGTTATCTCGTGCATTTCTGCTTGCGGGACCTGCGACTACTGCCGCAAGGGCATGTGCTCGCACTGTACCACCGGTGGCTGGATCCTCGGGAACAGTAAGATGCACCACTTTGACTTGTTCAATGCTAAACGCGCCTCTAGCGATTGACGGCACTCAGGCAGAGTACGTCCGTATTCCTCACGCGGACACCTCCCTCCACCCTATCCCCGAAGGTGCAGATGAGCGCGCACTCGTCATGGTCTCCGACATCTTCCCCACCGGCTTCGAGTGCGGTGTCCTGAACGGAAAGGTCCAGCCAGGCTCAACAGTCGCCATCGTCGGTGCTGGTCCTGTCGGCCTCGCAGCGCTCATCACTGCCCAGCTATATGCGCCTTCCACGATCATCATGCTCGACCAGGACGAGAACAGGCTGCGCGTAGCCAAGCAGCTTGGTGCAACGCACACCGTTAACCCGGCAACGAACGCCAATGCGGCCGATACAGTCAAGTCCCTCACCGAGGGCCTCGGGTGCGACACCGTCATCGAGGCTGTCGGTATCCCGCAGACGTTCGCCACTTGCCAGGACCTAGTCGCTCCTGGAGGGACGATCGCGAACGTCGGTGTGCACGGGACGAAGGTCGACCTGCACTTGGAAAACCTCTGGGATCGGAATATTGGTGAGTCATTATTTTACGTAAGCGAAGAACCGGTTTTAAGGCTGACCGTGCTTAGCTATCACCACGCGCCTCGTTGACGCCACTACCGCTCCCATGCTTCTCAAGCTCATCAAGGCTGGCAAGCTCAACCCATCGCAGCTGATCACACATGGTGAGTCTCCCGCCCTATGCCCTCCAGCTCTGCACTAACAAACCCCTAGACTTCGCATTCAAGGATATCGAGAAAGCGTATGACACCTTCCACGCCGCTGCGCAACACGACGCGCTCAAGGTGGTGATCAACTTCGACGAATAAGAAACAAAAAATAAAAGTGAAACCTGTCCGTTCTTTTCTTGCTTGCCACGGGGTTGAGGATTTTGTGCGCTTTCTCGTTGTTTGTGGTCTTGGATTGTACATCATATTGCATATACATGTGAAAAGAATTATTTCATGCCTTCTCCAACTCCAATCCGGAGCGTGAGTGAGTTTTGCCTTGCATGGCCCTCAAGATGTGCGCTGTCGGAACGTGTGGGAAGTGATTGTGGACACCCGTGAATGTGGGGAAGTCCTAAACATTCGGGATAATGACGTGGCGGATGACGCTGGAGCGGTTATTTGATCACGGCGCTACAGTGCCATACATAGACATATGCATATGACATGACTCACGGGGTCTATCACGCAATTTCCAGCATCACAGTCGCATAACTCTCCCCTCTCATCACGCCAACAATCAACCCCATCCCCATCCTCACCCCGCTCACCAATGCCCAGTCCAGACGAACACATCCATCCCACGGCCACAGGCGCCGCCGCGCAGACCGTAGCATCCCACAGCGCACCCACGACAGACGGGAACGAGCTCGTCTTCTGGTCAGGCTGGTTCTGCCCATTCGTAGCCCGAGCCTGGCTCGCCCTGGAAGAGAAAGGCATACCTTATCGTGCGTCCGGGTTTCTCGCCCTGCGCTCTGAGGTTGCTGAGGAGTATCATAATGCAGAGTATAAGGAGGTGAACCCGTATAAGAAAGAGCCGGAGTTTCTTGCCATATCCCCCAAGGGACTCGTACCCGCTATCACCTACCGCGGGAAACCGCTGCACGAATCGCTCGTCATCTGCGATTTCCTCGAAGAAGGTATGTCCCTCCCCCAATTAGAAGGGGTGCTTATATTGACCCACGGCAGCGTACCCCGATACGCCGAGTCTCTACCCCAAGGATCCGTATGATCGTGCCCAGGTACGACTGGCGATCGACCTTGTGGGAAAGAGCTTCCTCCCGCCGTTCTTCAGGCTGCTGCAGAGTCAGGAACCGGAGAAACAAGCTCAAGCACTCGAGGGTTCGTCAGATCTCTTTTTCCTGCTTGCTTGGGGTTGATTGCTTGCAGAGGTCACTGAAGCGCTTAAGAAGTACTCGAAGAAGATCGTAGGGCCTTATTATATGGGTTCACAGTTCACCCTCGCGGATATCGTACTCGCTCCCTGGGTCGCACGCCTGCCCATCGTCGAAAAACACCGCAACTTCTCCGCTTCTGCCGTGGGGGACAAGTTCGTCCAATGGGTCAAGGCCGTACAGGCCCGAGAGAGCTTTAAGAAGATCCTGAGCGAGGAGAAGTATTATGAGGAGATTTATGGGCGGTATTTGAGGGATGAGGCGATGAGTGAGGCTGCTAAAGCCACTAGGGCGGGCAGGGCGATTCCTTGAAAATATGTTGCTCACTCGAATCCTATTTCAGACTACTGGCCTAATCCACTGATACCAGAAGAACAGGAAATGGCTTGATCCTGTCTCACGGATGTGATGCCAGGAAGTGCTTGCAAGGCTGACGGTTGTACGACAATATAAGACTCCATGTTGTGCAAAAAGAAAGAACTGAATCATTTGGATGGGTTTCCTTGGCATGTAAGAATGGAAGTACTTATTGTATGTGAAGATCGGAGTGTGACCAATGCGATTACCCGTGCCCGACGTCGGTAACTAGTAATGAATATGTCAATCACGTGATAATTATATTGCTCGCGTCGGAGGGACTGACCCAAGTTTAAAAACTTGTCCCTAATATTGTGCCTGAAGGTGAAGCGCTCTACTCGACTTGTTTCAATTCTTTCCTGTACTGCCCTTTTCTTTCCCGCATCTATTTAGAATGAGTCTTGCTCTGGTAGGCTGTCACTCCTTGGACTGTGACCACCACGTACGGGCTCGCGTACTCCTCCTTGTGAGCACGAGCGAGAGCTCTCAATCGCATCACCACATCTGACAACATGCTCTGTCTTGCCCTGTTTCTACTTCCTCTCCTCCGATCCGCCCGGGCAGACGTGACGATCTACACTACGTTCCCCAACTTTGCCTCCTCTGCTCCTGCTCCCTCCCCTACAGGCCCGTACTCCGGCTTACCAGCATTCGACCCAACGACTATCCCCCCTCCCGCACCGCCAAACCCGCCACAGCCGACAGATGTACCGATTACGCTATTTCAGGGGGGTATGCAGGGGTTGAGCATACCACAGATGGGGAACTTGCTCGGGTTCAGTATTGAGCTCAGCGTCAGTAATACCATTAGTGCGTTCTTTGACCGAACAGAGGTGAATATGAATATGTTGACGTGTATCTAGTCGGGAAGAATAGCAAACTGCTCAACGTTCCCTTCCTCAACTATCTCAACAATATCCGTCTTCGTGCGGGTGCTGGCCCGATTGTTCGTGTCGGCGGCAATTCTCAGGAGACTGAGACACTGTTCGTCGACGGTCTTCCCGACGGTTCCGAGCTGGACAAGATCAATCAAGGTATAGGCGCGAACGGGGTAATCAACACGCCCATCATTAACTTCTCCCCTGAGCTCCTCTACTCCCTCGCAAATATCAGCGCGCTCGTCGAAGCCCAGTGGTACTTTGGCCTCTCGTTCAACGACACTTCCGCAGATGGGAACGCGCTCGTGGTCGCCCAGTATGCGCAGGACATCCTTGGGAATAACCTGATCGCCCTCCAGCTGGGGAACGAGCCAGATCTGTACAGTAACAACGGCAAAAGAGACCCGAACTACGGCATCCCGGACTACATGACCGATTTTGCAAAGGTCGAGGGGGACTTGATGGCCGCTTCGGGAGTGCAGAGGAAGGAGACTCTTATCGGCCCGAGCATTTGCTGCGAGTGGCAGATTGATGATGTGCTGAGCGCCGGGTATCTGACGCAGTTCAGCCAGGGCCTCAGGCAGGTGTCGGTGCAGCAGTACGCTCCCTTACGTTTACACCACTTTTTGCTGGTGCTGATAGTCCCCAGCTACCCAGCAAATAATTGCAAGCTCTTGGGTGTCATCCAACCCTCTGATATCTTCCCGTCTTACCTGAACCACACTGCCGCCCAAACGTTCGTCCAGCCCTACTTAGATGCAGTCCCCGTGGTCCTCGGCGCGGGAAAACCATTCGTAATGCTAGAGACGAACACGGCGAGCTGTGGCGGGTTTTTGGGTGTGAGCGATAGTTTTGGCGCTACTCTGTGGACCCTGGACTTGGCTTTCCAGCTGGCTTGGGCCAACTTCAGCACTGTGCTGTTGCACACCTCAGGCACGTCGGTGTATTATAATGTGAGCTCGTTGTGATACCCTACGATTCTCGCTGATGGTCACCAGCCGATCACACCTCCACCAGGCAACGAAACCAGAACGAAGCAATGGAACACGGGTTCGACGTACTACGCCATGCTGGCGGTCGCCGAAATGTTTGGCTCGTCAAACATCTCACAGATAATTGACCTCGGCACCTCGGAGACATCGATCTACGCCCCTTCGTACGCTGTGTACGAGAACGG